GTTTTACACCCTTGGACATCAACCTGCCAGGTTAGTTTGTGTCTGTGTAAAAATGTAGTTTGCTGTTATTGAAATCAAAGTAAACCCTCTCAACTTAAAAATTGCCTTGTNCGATTTGACAGTGTGAAGTGAATTCGCTTTTGGTTCTGTTGGTCATTGCTTTCTTTGCTGTAACCGATTTTTTTCCGCAGTAATGTGGAGCTTACGTTTTCCTTCCTTATGGTCTTGCGTTTGTCATTACATGCGGTTTACTACGGTAAGAACGAGATCAGTGAACGGTCATTGTACATTTTCCTCGATGCCCGACCTTTTGGCTCACTACAGGCTTTGAAGCTGTGTTTCTGTTTAGAAGACCCACAAGACCAGAAGAAGGGCCAACCCTCCATTGCGTATGTAGAAGAGTTTTTATTTTCAAGTGAAAGGCCGAAAATTAATCCTTCGTGATATTAAAAAAAAGGGCGGTGGCCGTGGTCAAGTAGAAGAGTTGTCAGAGTTGTTTACGGTTTTATTACACTTTTAAGACGAAAAGAAATGATGATTGAGATTCTTAATTCTTCATCCTTGATTGTGAGCTTATCCTTGCAGAGTTGCGTTGGATGATTGAGTGGCATATGGTCAAATCTCGTAGTTCATGTATTTTGTTATGTACTAGAAGCGAAATAAATTTACCAAGAAGATCATTCACTCTTGATATGCTTAAGTTCTTATCTTCCGTGTGATTTAATTTAAACTTTACCCGTAGTTTCTAAGAAATGAATATAGGCAAATGAAAGGGTATTATTTTGTGTGTTTGGAATTCTCTTTTCATGACAGCAGTTACTACACTGCCTTCAGTTTGAGTCAAACAAAGAGGGAGAAATTATAAATATTTTTATTCCAAAAACTACACTACCCACTGGAACAAGAGTATAGTTTTAAAAAGATAAGTTAAGGTAAGAAAATAAATGTTCAAATTTGCATTTTTTGACAAGGACTACATCTGGCTAAATATGCTTCAAAGGGAATTTATAAAATTAAAAAAATGATGACATTTCTATTTTTGCCTTTCCTTTGGCCACTGTGATCAGTTTTTGCCATATAGTTGCATGTAATGTTTTACACCCTTGGACATCAACCTGCCAGGTTAGTTTGTGTCTGTGTAAAAATGTAGTTTGCTGTTATTGAAATCAAAGTAAACCCTCTCAACTTAAAAATTGCCTTGTACTAGTGGATATTGAAAACACTGTAGAATGCCTTGGAAAAACAATGTAAAATGATTATTAAGAATTCTGAAAATCATTTTTGCCAGCCTCCACACAAGTTTCTAATTAATATTGTTGACTGCAAATAATATTATCTTAGATAATATTATTTGCAGTCAACAATATTAATTAGAAACTTGTGTTGAGGCTGGCAAAAATATTTTTCAGAGACCATAAACCTTCACTGACTTTGCTGTTACAGCAAGTGGTAAAAGGGAATTAAATTTGAGATCACCTCCCTGGGCTTACACTGAAAGAGAGTATGGGTAGTAGGACACATTGTTCATTTCCATACCCTTTTTAAGCCAAGAGACCTTATTTTATAATCCTGATTCATTTCCTTTAGCATACAGAATTAAGGTAGCTTTTAAACTTAGAAACATGGCAAAACTTGGGGGGAAAATGGTGGTACCTATAGACTATACTCTATAGACCGCTTTTTCTTCAACCTTTTACAACCCAAACAGACACCTTGTTCAAAAAAAGGGTGAAATAGTCACCACTCTAAATCAGCAGCACATACCCATCTAGGCCAAATAAGCCAAGGGTAGTATCCATAGAAAGAACTGCTGAGAGGATAGGGCTCAAGCTCGACAATACTTTCTTTTGATGGTTGATAAAAAAGATCAATTTTACCTTGTATGATTTAGTTGTAAATCAGATTCATAACTTACACGAACAATAAACTTAAGTCGTATAGTTTTCAAGCCTCTTCTGATTCTCGTTATAAACTTTGCAAAACATTCAGTTTTCTTTTTTCTGTTTCTTGTACTTCAGTCCTCTGAGGGATTTTCTCAACGCATACTCTTCCTGATGTACTCACTCTTATTAGCAACTGAATTAGCCTCTTGTCCCCACACTAAACCACTATGATCATTTCAAGTATAATTCATAACTAAATGGTAATTTTTGTACCAACAATTTCAAGGAAATACTTGGACACCGAAGTCACTATAAAATACAAAACTACTAAATACGGTATTGCTGTTGGAAATTTATTGATTAGCACTCCAATGACATTCCAGTGAAGGTTTTGAAGGTTCAGTAAAACCCTCCCAGCCTTCTGATATTAAAAACAGCTTATACTGACAGACCCAGTATATGTGAAACAAAGTGATTGGAACATTTACCCTGGTTTTACTAAATTGGCCCTGTATTCTGTATTTAAGCCCATAAATATTTGTTGTGCCTCCCGGTGTACACAAACAAACTTACGAACAGCGAAGTAGAAAATCAGTGGTTTAATAAACATTCACAAATGACTGTTGCAAGACTCATACCAATATATTGTGCCCGTAGCATATGTTTAAGATAAGGAAGAGAGTCTTAATACCACTGTAAGTGGAAAAATATAAGAGATGGAGCAAGATGGTCGCTCGAAAATTCACGAAGCTTAAAAATAACTGAACTTGCCGAGATCCCGAATCACGATAAGTGAAGTCACCCATGAACTGTTCATACATCACGCCTCCTGATGTCCAAAAGGTCCATTAAAAAAATTCATAGCAACCTTTTCTTGATATTTGTACGCGGGAAAACTTAAAACCGAGCAAAAACTCATCGTCCTTCCATGTCTGCATTCTCCGCCATAGTTGTTTTCAAGGAAAATTTGTACTCAGTCTCACTCGGCCGAATTTCTTAACTGGGGCGATCATGTAAACTCGCGGGTTCCAGACCTCGCTGCCAGCCCCCCCTGGAATTGCTATTCGGTTTCTCATTCATCACTTGCCACTCAAGAATTTTGCAGTGTGTAGAACTCAAGGATTTCTGCAGTTTTGCAGTATGCAGTGTGCTGCTCTTTTTCCATAACTTGTGCCCTGAATACAGCTGCTGAATACCGCTTGAATTTTGCGTTTTCGTTTGTTTTCAGTTGTCTGTTTACGGCTTTACATTCTCACTGAAAAAGTGAGCGTATGTAAAAAATGAAAGGGTTCTCCTCTATTCTAAAAGGGACAGACTCGCCGGCTTTTCGAGCCCGAGTTTGTCCTTTTTTGTTAAATAAAAAAAGTTGTAAGTTGTTGTATTAACGTTTATATTTGTAGTGAAAGATTGGATTATTGTTATTAGTAGCGAAAAAGGTTATCGTTTGCTTTCCTATGTCTGTCCTGAGAGAAAATATTATACACCTTACGGTAAAATTTTCTTTCAGATATTGTGAGGTATAAATGTAAAGGCTACACATAACTGTTCGTCCGGGCCCGTTTAAAAGAAAAAAGAAAAGAAGAGAAAATGTAATGGGCTTACGGGAAGACAAAAGTCCTTAAGTCGGCCTGATTTTTCTTTTAGGTCTTCCCTTAAACACAGAAACACCGACCCTAGAAATCGTAACCTGTAAATTGCTGCTACTTAAGAGACCTACAACAATTTTTTTTTTTAACAATTTTTTCAATTCAGGTTTGTTTGTGGAATATTTTTTCTTAATCATGTAGCCCCTCTCTCTAAAGGTGTCTGATGCCGAAGCTCTTAGGGATGTGAAGATTTCTTTTTTTCTGGCTTAGAGTTCATGTATACCATAAGTATAGAAAGGGAGGCTTCGCTTTTAGCCCTGGCTAAATCTATATATTATGTGTGTGTGTTCGATCTTGACGTGCATTTGTATTTTTAGAATATTGAATGTAAACAGCGTAAGCTCTCTAGATGAGCCCTTTAGGCTCTTAGGGCAAATATTGCAATAAATATTGTTTATGAAAAAAAAAAGTGTTTATATATACACAGTTATACGCACCTTATAACTTCATCTGCGCGTACTCTATTTTGGTAATTTCAAAACAGCTGCTATACATCACGTAACACAAAAGAGTATCGAAAAATGACTGTACAATAAATGTCACAAAATCTATCAAAGAGGTCCCTTCGGGGATTTTCTGTTTTACGTCATCCTAACCATCTCTTACTTGGGGGCGCGAACAAAATAAACGTTACCATTACCCAACGATTCCATGTGGCCCCTGATCAAGTAAATAGAGAATTTTTTTCTGGTATATACTGACTGTATATAGCAACTGTAAGTACTTCTCTAAATATACGCGTCATCCACTAGGACGCAAATGAGTGGTTAACCAACTGAGTGGCTTCAATAGCTCAGGTGGTAGAGCAATGCACCGGCATCGCAGAGGTCATGGCTTCGAATTCCGCGCAATTATTTAGCCTATCAATGCCTGGGAGCACCGAAGCAGCAAAAACGAGCCGTCTCAATCACGCTTCAAAATTCTATTGGTCTGAAAGGTTCAAGAAAAGGGGACGTTTGACCTTAACGGAGACTGATCTCATTTGCTGTTTGGTAAAACCTATACAAATTTGTAGTGAAAGTTGCTCTTCCATATTGTTGTGCAGCTGTGATAAAGAGCCAAATTAAGACAGGAAAGTATAAAACATTATGAGTCACCGTAAATGGTTACCATTAGACTTTCGTTTGGTGCGCGGGAAATCATACAACAGAAAAAAGCAAAACAAAACACCATGTTTTCACGTGGCGAGATTTGCAAAGAATTTTATTCCATTTTGAAAAGAACTTGTTACACGAAGTTCTCAGAAAGCGCTTATTAACACACAAATTAGTTCTTTCCATATCTTAGAATCTAATAAGCAAGCTTTGCTTTTGACACATAAAGATCTAGATGCGCAGCCCACATTATGATTATGTAACTAACAAAAAACCAATTTCACAATTTCAATGTAATGATCAATATTGATACCTTGAGTAGTCCCGAATTTAGAACAAAGTTCACATTGAAATGATTAGCCCGTGAATTAGCATTCTCAAGGAAGGGCTTGGCAATCCGGAGGGAGGACGTAAAGTGACTCGTTACCACTCTCCCTGAAGAAATTCAACTCGCTGAACATTGCTTGACAGAAAAAAACTTTGGCTTCTTTATATTCCTCCTCTGAACGGAATTTCTGATCAACAAAACTCTCCAGGCGGCTTCTGTCGCCCGGACGGCGGCTCTTGTTTTCTTTAAACCAGCTATAATAAGCGCTGTTCTCCTGGACACTAGGAAATAGCTCATCAGCCATCCAGCGCCAAAGCATCGTGCATGGTAGCATCGCTATAGCTAGGTATTTAGCATGCTTTTGGCTCACAGTAGTCAGGAAAGACATGTACTCTTGGGCTGCAGTGCCAGGTTGCACGTTTTGAGTATTCTTAAGATGCCAGTCTCTTAGCATCGGCGCCAAGTACTTAGACTCCCAAACAGAAGACTCGTTTTTGTAAAATTGCTCAAATTCACTTTGCCCTTGGTCTCTCATCTTTTCAGCGGCACGGTTGAATGCATTAACTGCATTGTAAAGGTAGGCGATATCTTGAACCATGTATGCGCCGTAGGAATCTGCGTTTAGTGTCGCTGAAACCATGCCTTGAATAAAGACACTTTCTTTCGTGGACTTTCGTATCATCACGCTTCTGCCATTATCAAAAAGGCGCTGGCTAAAGGAATTTTGCACAGCCGATTTTTTGGGATCGCTGTAAGAAATTTCTTTAGGAAGCTCCAATAAGTGCTTGCTCGGCTTCTTGAAGTGCAGTTTTCTGTCTGAAAGGGAAAATACAGTCAGTTAATAGTCTTAAACAAATTATAAAGCAGATTAGCAATGAACTCTTCACGTAAGAACTTAATGACTGCATAATAAACGCACCGACTTTTTGCTTATCGAAAGTGATTTTTGTCCAAGGTGTTTGGAGGGGAGGAAAGTGTTCGAAAGGTCAAAAGGCCAAAACAGTCATGCGTATCACAGTATGATAAAATACTGGGGATATGTTTGATTGCTCTCTCCGAAAACTGCTGATAGTTAACAAATGTAAGTTGATTATTTCCGCCTTTTGTGAAATGTAGCAGGCCTTTGAGTCAGTATAGCATATTGAGTAAATTTCCAAATTTCGGGATGACTTTTTTTCACCGAACAGATATTTTTCGGTGAGCCGCTCAAGTTTTCGTGTACTGTCTTTAGTAAACAGTGTTTTGTTCTACGACATGATCAAACCCAAACACAAATTTGGTGTGTTGTATAAATTTTAGCTGTAAAAAAAAGATACCGAATCTCAAAAAAATTCCTTGATACTCAAGTGAAGAAGTCTGCTTCATCAAGCTTGGTAAAGAATTGATAGAAGATATTTACGTTGTTCCTTAGCTATTAGTTAAAGTTCCTTAGTTAAAGGTTTAAAAGTTTTGTTTCAAAGGGTAGCACTTACTTCTTCCATGGACTTCAGTCGGGAAGAAAACCGTTGCCACCAGGACAGCAACGGCAATCAGGAAAGCGAAAACGTTTGCTCCTAACATTGTGCCAAGCTTGGAAGTCGGTTAAAAATGCCAAGAACCTAAATACATATCGTTTATGACTACTTGAAAGTCAACTAAGCTGCCCATATAAGGAGAATTACCACATCGTTTTCAAATCAGGGATTAGGCTATCCTTCTTGCGGGTTAACAGCCCTAATTAAAAAATCATTCGACGAGTGTCAACTTGAAAAGCCATTCAATGGTAAAAAGCTAATCACATTATAATATACAACTCAAACCTTATTTCTTTCTGCGGGACAAAAAGAACGAGAACAAGTCAGCGGACAGCTTCCAATTAAATAACGTCACCTCAATGAGTTGAGACATGAGCCCGCGATATGGTCATGGGATACTGGTCAGTGGCTATCCTGTTTTGACAGCTGTCAATTGACCATATTGTGAATGTCCAATGTAAAAGATGTGGACTTGATAAGACACGCCTGAGACACCCCTCCCTTCCTTTTGATAGTCTCCCCTACCCCACCCGTACAATCCGTAGACGCGTACCTACGTACGTACGCTCGGTCAATCACGTGACAACCAAACGAAAAGAGGTTGACTATAATCTATCAGTATGGGACAGCGCGCGTGGGAGCCCCGCTATAATATAAAAATGCAAAAGTTCATAATGATTATCACCGCTGAATGCTTGCCATAATGAATAGTTTGTAAAGACCTATTCAGTAGTCTGTGCGTACACTTTTTCTATTCCCTTAAGTAACGTAAAGACAACAGATAAACGGCTGGGGGATGCATTTACCTTTTCGCTTGTTTTTTTCCTCGCCGATGTCAAAAGCGGAAGTCAGGGACGAGCCCTGTCGCTTCAGTGTCTATAAAGAAAAGTATGTTTATCATTTACGTCATTCCACTTCACTGCCACTTGCACTGAGATTTTTGCCCGAACGTTTCTAATGTGGAATTTTATACTGCACGTACATTTAGGGTGCAGAAATGAAAATAAAAATCTTTTATGAGTTTACTCCTAAGACAGTTTAATTTCATTAACTATACTACATGTAGGAGTTTCAAAAGCAAAATTTAAATAAAAAAGTAATTATATTGGTAAACATGTATGTCTAACCGGATTTTTGAACACGTGAAATCATCAAAGTAGCCATTATAAAAACTAACAGCGCAACCATTGCTTTTTCTCTCTTCCCCTCCTTTCCTCCTCCTCGCTCTTTCTTTTTCTCCTTTCGTTTTCCTTCGTTACTATGATTTTGGAGCTTATCGGGCTTAAGAAACCTGCCTTTTGACGACCTTTCACTCATGTAATAGACTGCTAATTTCGTTAGATTGGTTTTCAAAAAATCGGTTAGATGTACACATATACATACATAGATGACCACGCAATAACATGGCCTCATAAAATGGATATGAATAAAATGTAAAAATACAATACAACAAAGTATCCTAAATGTTAGAGACAATGGCCTTAAGTTCATCTAATGAATTGATCTTTAAAAATCTTTAATGAGTATCCTCAATGAGTATTCTCTAATGAGTATTCAACAAATAATTAAACATACAAGTAAATAAATAAAGATACCGGTATAAGAAATTAGAAATAGAGGAAGGGATGACCGTGTTAACTTCTTCGATTTGTTGGGTGCATGCCCTCCCCTCTATCTAGGGGTTTGTGTTGTTAATCATATCCAAGGCGAAACCAACATTTTCTCACTTTTTACAAAAAGACTGCCCAAAGAAAACAAGTGATAGCAAAATATAACTGCCAACACCACACTTTGCGGAACTAGATATAACATTTTTGTCTAAATAAAAATCCCACAAACAAAAAGGTTTTACATACACGAGTGACTCAAAGGAGCCTCATTAACCTAAGATCAGCTCTATTTTCTTTTCGCTTGGTAAATATAATTCTGGCGGCAAGGCGAAATGTAAGAGAGAATGTATGAGAGCTAGCTGCGAAAACTGGGCCTAATAACAGGTGAGAGCCTCATTTTTATAAGTTTACAGTGAGAATCGACCAACAGACCTGCTCGAGCGTCCGAGCAAGGTTCCCCCAATAATGCAATATGAGAGTAATTTTTATGCTTTTATCGTTTACGATTCCTGACAAGACAGAGCCCCTCTGCACCAGAATGGCATTTGTCGTTATGAAATTTTTAAATTGGGAAACGCGTCAGCGATTATAAACAGACAATTTTTCACAAACTACGCATTTTCGTTAGAATCCGAGCTACTGCGCATAAGATTCTACATTATATGGAGTCCGCTAAGGCAGGACGATGGCGCTGTTAAGGATTACAAACTTTGCCTATCTTCGGCAGGAATTCAAATGCTTCCGCAGTTGCACACCGCCGGCAATTAAACTCTCAGACCATGTTTAAAAGTAATAACTTAGTTATTCCCATTATTTCACAGTCACATTCATTCCCTGCACTTTAATAACAGGTAAATGTATTTAAACTGATTGTGCTAGATTTAATATTGTTTAATAGCAAATATATGAGTGTTATTTTATTTTTACCTTTTTGACTAAAGAAGATTCATCCTGGTTTCCAGCGTCCTCTACAGGATAATGTTTCGCCGCATGCCGAGACGATACAGCAGCAACAATCCCCAAAACGAACAACAGAAGGAACATAGGCTTGATGTATTCCATTATGAAGATCGTCTTTAAACCTGTAATAATATAAACAAAACTAGAACATTTAGTCCGCTTACGAAACGCTTGATACTTGAGGGCCTGCACAAGGTCTCTCCAATTATATTTCGCATAATAATAACGCTGGCCTTAAAATTGAATTTCATAGCAGCACATATATGATTCAGTAGGTTTCGTTCCTGAGGGTTCCGCCAATAATGGCACGTTTTCCGTTAAAAATGAAATTCCCGAACTCCGAGAACCTTTGTCTCCATTTGTACATACTGAATCGGTTATTTCTGAATCTAAGGAGAACTAAACAGGTGAAGAAGCTGACAAGCAAACTCACACAGAACGGTGCTACATCTTTTTTTACTTATTAACGTGAAAAATAAAACATAGTTTATCATAGAAATAAACTTTTGAGTGCAAATGTTCGATGGGGTTGTAAAAATCGATAAAAAGGTTCAGTAATCATTAAGATATGAGGTGGTTTAATTTTCAATCTTGAGTAAAAGCATTTTAAAAGTATAGACTGAACTAACTAAATAATAACAAAATCTGAATAGAGTTAAGAAAAAAATTTATCAGAAACGTAAGAGACAAATCTCTTTTTACGTAAAGTAATGGTTTTTAATGTTTGTGTAGATAATTCCAGCTTTGCTTACCTTTTCTAACTGCAGTGACTTTGAGTACAATAGACTTCAGTCCCTCGGATTACTACTTTACGGTAGTTGTAGCAAGAAGCCAAAGTATGGTCCGACTGATTTGGCAGCAAAAGTGTAGCTCCTTTTATAGCGGAAAGTTGGCGCAAACATCACGCACACTCAATTTTCAAAAACACTCAAAATTAGAAAATTTAGCTGTCCTTATGACCTTTAATTAATTATTTAAATACCGCAATGTTTGATTTACGGTTCATTAGGAATCTTGAGGAGGTCAAGTTGATTATGATTCGACATTCTTGCAGTCTTCGATCTTGAACTTCTTTGTTTCACTATTAAAACCTAATATTAGACTAACTAACAAACTATGCTTATGACCAATATCTCTTTATTAACTGGTTTTATCCTTGTTCAATTGACCCGTGTAAAAAAATATAGTTTTGAGTTTTTAAGGAAAACAAAATACCTGTCGTCAACAACTTCCTATGCTTACTAGCATAACCTTGTACCTATTGTTCTTACTTTGCTACTGAATTCTATTAATAACGCTAAAAATAGTTTTCTTGATTCTTAGAAAACAAACCTAAGTTGTTATGCTGTGATCTGCAGTCATGCAGACATAGTTTCCAATATCCGTTGAGTATAGTCTCAGTTAGCGACTGCTTTCACTTTGGCGAATTTAATTGCAAATAGTTTTTAAACTTTGGTCTAACTTTTTACTACTCTGGTATAGCACTGAAATTTGTAATTTAAATACAATATTTATTCTTGAAGCAATTAAGAGCGGTTTTTGGACGTATTACTAGACAGTTCTATTTTGATGGAACTGTTGTTAATGGTACAAAAAAATGCAATATTTTTCATGTCTTGAGGCACTTGTCGACTGACCTCCTATGCTTTAGAGCATATGCTTTTCCTTACTGGTTTATATTTGGCGCATTTTAATATAATAGATTTTAAGATAGACAATGGCTATTTCAGGACTTTTTAAGGAAAACAAAATACCTGCCGTCATCCACTTCACATGCTTACTAGCATAACCTTGTACCCATTGCCAATTTACATTAATGACGCTAAATATATTCTTCTTGAGTTTTAGAAAACAAACCTGTGTTTCTATGCTATAACCTACAGCCTGGCATTCTATGCCTTCCAGCATAGTCTTTTAGCGACTGCTTTTACTTTGCCGAATTTAATTGAAAATAGTTTTATTTTGGTGAACTGTTGTTAGCTAAAAAAATCCAATATTTTTCATGTCTTGAGGCACTTTTCGACGAACTTCCTATGCTTTTGAGCATATACGTTTCCTCACTGGTTATATATTTGAAATATAATATATACTTTAAATTTGAGGCTGAGACAGACAAAGGCTCTCTCAGTATCATGGTGCTGTCTGCCTGCAATTATCAGTTTCCGGTGTACAAGCATAAGCTTTGTACCCATTACGTTTTGCGCATAGGTGTAACGAAATTTTTCATAACGCTATGATCCGGCTATACTGTCTCCCATTTCTTATGATAAAATATAAGCTGATGAGACAGGCATTTTTGTTTTTTCTTTGTAGGCACCGTCACTGGCAATATACTGAATATACTTAACCAGTAAATCAGGCGAAAAAATCAGTGAACCAAACTATCATTTTCAACTATTAAATGTTGTCGCTGATGGTTCGCTATTGGCCTTGCTGAAGAAAGTAATCGGATGAAATTGGCGATTGTTTAAGAAGA